TCCTGGGTCGTGACGCCCGGGCCAACCAAGCCTTCCATCCCTCCGGGGTCGGTTAATTGGTACCAGACTTGTCTGGGAGGATAAAAACACTGACTTGTACATCGGCTGGCCCCGCAAGTCATTGTATAGGCCACATCGCATTCAAAACGCCACTACGAATGTACAAATGGAAGTAGAATGCGTGCCGCATCCCAAAAAGGGATTGATCAACGGCAAATGCTTTATCCTTTTCCCTCCAGCAGATCAGACAATCCTACAGAAACTGTGAGCGAGACTGACTTAAAGGCGACGTTAACGCAGCTCACTAGAAATCATGGTGGAGGTGAACACTGGTGCAGGGATGAAGAAAACCGTGAGAAACGACCTAGACCCAAGAATGAGACATCTTCTCTGCCCGTTGATTTCCGCATTGATGCGACTCCATCGGTGCTGCCTCTTGAACGTAACGCTCTCCTTACTGAACGGCTAGAGTCAGCTATCGAGAGGGTGGGCGTGTCGTGTCGATAGCGGCAAAGAGACGGCCATGCTAAGTCGCCGGGCATATTATTCGCTGCGAGTTGCAGGAGAGTGCGCCTTCTTAATGAATCCATCTGCTTCATCACTAGGTATGTTCGCCCTTCTTCAACCTCCGACCTTATCCTCTTTCAACTCCGCAAGGGGCCAGCACTCGGTGGATATTTATCGGGTTTGAGTTACACTGCGGAAGCAAAGCTCGGCAAAGCCATTAGGTGCCTGTCTAAAAGAGAAAGAAGTGTGCGGTCAGGGAAGAGCATTCCGTCGTAAGAAACAGCAGTACGGTTTTGAGGTTCATATCAAAAACCTTGTTCGATAAGTGAGAAAATTATGCGGATTCTGTAGTGACGGTCAAGAAGTTCACATGTTTTCCAGGTATCCTTTGTACATCATCAACTCTATCGACTACTTCCTGCCGAGGTTTTCAATCGCTGGATTGACGTTGTGGGCGGTGGTGTTATCTCATGTGAGCTGCGCCTTGAATCCTCTCATTTACGCGTACGGCATGCCGGGTTTCAAAAAGGTATGCACTTCTTAGTTGTCACATCTGAGATTTTTCTACAACAGTTCAATGTTTCTAGGCTCTCCGGGAATTCTTCAATATAAGCACTGATCAAAGCAATACGGTCAATTTTTCGTGCTACTTGAGGTCCGAGCCAACGAAAGGTCTTCAAAATTTGCCAGGTCGTATAAGAAGGTAAATCAAAAGCTTTTTGAGTATTCATTTCCGATTGAAAAAATGTTCAGAAAATTCGGAATTATCAGCTGTCCTTGAAGTCAAGAAAGCATGAACAATTTCAATCCTAATAATCTACGAACACGTTCACTTAAAGACACGGGACATGATCGAAAATGTAACTTCCGCGCGAAAAGGAATCACAAAAGAAGGTCACAGCAGCGGAGGGAGACAGACGAAAATCGACCATGTGCTGGTAAGAAGATCATCCCTCAAAACTGTGAAGGATATCAAAGTTCTACCCGGCGAAGATCTGGCTCCCAGCACAGGCCCCTCCTGGCAGACATTGCCATAGACCTCCCCAAGAAGACAAGGGTAAGAACCGAGAGGAGAATCCGGTGGTGGAAGCTGCACCAAGCGGAGAAGGATGACCTCAAGCGAAAGATAATGGAAGTCGGTCTCCCAGATCCTAACGGGCAAGGTTTAGCAGCAGTACATTTTCGAGTCGTGGGCTCCGGCTGAATGTCAAGAGTACCAAGTTTTGAGCTATAAAGAGATTACAGAGCCGCCATGGGGAGAACGAAGAATGGAGGACTTCCGATACCTTGGGAGCGATCTGGCAGCCGACGGTAGTGTGGATCAGGCAGGAAAGGATCAACGCTGCATGGATGAAATGGAGGGAGTCCACTGGAATCCTCTGCGATCGAAGGTGCTCCAGAACGCTCAAAGGGAAAGGTGTACAGTGGTGAGGCCTGCGATGCTATACGGCAGCGAGTGCTGGCCCCTGAACAAGAATCACGAAAGGCAGCTTCACTCCGCCGAAAATGAGGATGCTGATACGAGCACTGGTGGTATGGACACGTGCTAGGAGGCCACAGGATCATCCGATAAGGAAAGCGATGGACTTCGAAGTGCAAGGCAAGCGACCGCGAGGAGCCCCAAAGAAGAGGTGGAGAGATGTGATCAAGAAGGACTGGAAGTGGGGCCACGACAGAAGATGCCCTGGATAGAACAACGTGGCGACGGCAGCGGACCTGCGACTGCGCGGAATAACGCTAGGAAGCAGAATAAGAAGATGCACATGCACGTAGCATAGAAATCAGCGCTAAAATGTCAAAAAATTGCAAACAGCGGAAAAATTGCAATATGAGCCCGGTCAAACTGTCTTTCCGTCATACCACATCAGTCCTTATTGGAAGTTACTGCCCTCAACTTTAGCGTTTCGATGATTTCTGCCCACATTCAGTTCACACCGCTACTCATCCACCACTATGAAGCGCTCCAATAGACCAGCATTAGTCCGGGACTTGTTTTTAAAGTTGAAAGGTCGCCTTCTATTCTCGAAGTGGCAATGTGACAGTTAGTCATCGTAGCCTTAGCCTTATATGTACATGATTTCCATGAGGTTTTTTTTATGAAATAAAACCTTCATGTAACACGATTTTCAATTGCAGGTACCCATCGGAGACCCTTCGTAAAATTTCTGCACCGACGCCAATCATCAAGCGTAGTTTGAAAGAACGGCGCATACGGCGACAAACTATCGATATTACTTGAGGATTATGGGACTCATCGTGCTTGATCAGCTTCAAGAGGTTGATCCTCCTAGCTCTCTACGCAGGAGATGCTCCGAGAGACGTAAAAGGTTTTTCAAGGAGTAGAGCGGTGCTCTACAAAGGGCAGGAGACCTTTTGGTTGCTGTATCGTCACAGCCGCAAGCCGCATTCATCTCGGCTTGTTTGGCGTGCCTTCTAAGGTGGTTATGATCACTTCCTATACTTGAACGGGCAGAACATTTATAAAATTACGTTAAATAGGGCACTCATATTGTAAGACTTCCATAGTTCACATGTTTGTCTATTGTTCCACAGTTCCTGTTGTTCGTCCGATGTTTTCTGTGCTATGCACCACTGTTTTATGAACTGATTTTCTCATATCATCAGAACTGGTCATTTCCACGAGTGTTCCACGTGACTGTTACTGATCTCGACCCTTAGGAGCTGATCTTCGAGCTTTCTTCCATCTGTGAGATTATTCAGAGCTGTGATTTTTGACAGCACATCTACTTCCATTTCAATTTTCATGTATCTTGTCCCATTGGTGTGCTGAAAGCCTTTCCTACAATTACAGAGATGACAGTGATGACTCGTAACATTTCGCAACCCGTCGTCGGATCTTGTAGAAGCATCTCCTCGAAGATGCCCTTTCTCCTTCAGTAGCAAGACTTTCCCGCCAACCACACATGTTTTTGTTTTTCTTTTTCTGTGAAGTTGATGCTCATTTTCTTCGAAAACGGCAAGTATAGGTAAAGATTAAACATACTTTGTTTTGACGAGTTGCTGTTGCACTACTCACTTAACAAGTCTGGGTGGAATGCTGATTCGTGAAGGAAATTGCGAAGCACGTCTATCGCTTTGGGCTACAAGGGTGGAGCAGAGCAAACAGTAAGCAGCGTCGACCCTAGCCTATTTCAAGTTAGAGATTTGTTGGTACACTGAAAATATTGAGCTAAACTCCAACCAGGAAGGGATCCTAGGATGGATCAACCGTCCAGGCCGAGTTCAAATCGGAAGGAGTCATAGTGGCCCACGCAACGTTCAAGGGTGGAGGGAGTAGGGCGCAAGAAATCATCTTGAAGGTAGGGACCACACCGCTGGAGGACGGTGAAATTTTGTTGGCCTTAAAGGCACGCTCCGCGATCAGGCGGGCTCGCCTGTTCCATCCAGGGGGTAGTAGGCAGGCGGACAAGTGTTGATGTCGCGCCCCTTTTGCGGCTTGAAAGTGCGCGACAAAGGCGCAAGGAGCTCGTCCAACCCGCAACTCACACCTTCGTCCGCAAGCCCCACCCTTCGCTGTTGCCACGTGGCGCTGCTTGAAAAGCGCGGGCGCATTTGAGGCAGCGGTCCCAGCGCGATCCAATGTTATTGGCACTGCCAATTCGCCTCTTCTCTATCCCAAGGTGGAATGTGGCTGAAATAGGGAGGTCTCTGTACGGGGCGTAATCGGTGGTTTCGTTTGCTTTCCTTCTCTTTTACAGACCACCTCCCACCTATAGCTTCATAACTGAACGCTTTTCCACACCTATTTTATCCCGAATCTTGCCTTTAATGAACGTCATTGTTAGACAGGGCCCTTAGCGCGCTAGGTTTTGTAATTGGGACCGATTCTCAGCACTCTTCCACCAATGACCTCCAGCCATCGTGATCACTGCCTTCAAGAAAGTACTGGAGCCAGACCACTTTCAGTAAATCTTTCCATAGCGTGAAGTACTTTCAAGCAAGTTTGTTGTGCGAAGTGTCAGAGCGAACAAAGATGTCATCCCAAGTTGTACTCGGCTGAGTTCCCACTTTGTCGTCTTCGTTAGAGCCTAGAAAGCCGAAGATGAGAGCGATTCATTCACCACACATCAACTCAAACTTCCAAAAAAAAACTCATTGACCATTTTTGAGAACATCTGGTAAACCACAAAACTTTCAACTTCAGTGCTTTCTATGTAGAGGTGTTTCTTCAAAAGAAGACAGAACTGGCTTTCGCGTTCAAAATAAACCGTGCGTTATAGTCTTTCGAATCATATACAAAAAGTCGACCGGCCATTTGTCGAAGCTGATAAAGTCGACCGAGTTAGCCTTGCAAAGTTCTGGACGTATGAGTGGGTGCTCCCTCTCGCAGAGAGGAAGGCCGGTTTCCGAAGTAAGCGTTAACTAACTAGTTAGTAAGCGATAACAAATTCCTCAGAAGTCGACCGCACGTCAGACAGTCAGCCTAAACAGCCAGTAGTTGGCGAACCGAGCATTCCAGATCGATCCTGTGCTGCACCAAGACGCTGATAAATCGTGTTGTCGAAAATCCCTGGGTAAGGAGTTCAACAAATGACTAACCGTGGTAGTCTAACTTGATCACCGTAACAGTCACAAATTTTTGTGATCAAATAGGATAAGTACGATTAAGGCAACACAACAAAAACGTGAGAAACGGAAATACGCTGCACCTCCATAATGTGATTGAGTACAGGGTAGGCCACAAATTATGGAAACAGGGCACCCAATGTGCAATTCTGAAGTTGAACCCACACGGTTTTGATTAGGGTTTTAGGGTTTGACTTGTAGTCTCACTCCTTAATCAAACCATGAAAATGTGATGATTTTGAGTTGTCAAGCCTTCACCTATTCACGAATCAGCGGTCGTTTGCACCGCCAATTTCTTCGCTGGTATTGCATGTCAATAATCCGGGGTGTCCCGGAAGCTTCCTACTACAATTAAGATACAGAGCTAGGTTCTAGGACGAATCAGATGTGGGAGAAAAGCTAGTATGGTCATAAGAACCCAAGGGCGCTGGGGTTTATCGTTTGGCGGCTGCAATGGGAATCAGTCGCACTTTGCTTATGGTTAGAAGGCCTTTGCTTTACATTGCAAAGCGAAGACATGAAAGCATGGAAAGTCCTAATTTGTTACTGATGCAGGCAAATGGCAAGAAAGCAGCGGTGCAAGCAGTTGCTGTCTCAATTTAGTGGCAATATTGGGTTGTCCCATAATTCCTGTCCGATTTTTGATCAAATTCAAATTTCTTCAAGTCGAATTAGTGTCATTGCGAAATATGTTGGTATGTCAAAGAGTGCATCTAGACCGTTAGCCAGGACATTTTGGAAGGTCAAACCCGCATCGGAGTAACTGAGTAGAAGTCGAAATAGATCAATGACAATAACGAACGATTATGCTTTATGATCCTCAAATAGACGCTGTTGCAAGGAGGACACTAGAGAAGATCAGCGCTGTGTTTGGCTCAGTCTCTGCTACTGATCGGTCACTGAGCTAGTGGTTCGGTCGCAATGGCAAAGACAATACGAGCTGTGAAAATCAGCCTCATCCTGGGCCTCCACTCACTTTCGATGAGGACCCCTTGCGCCATGGATTGGAAGTGCACACGGACGCTACTACCAGGGTATTGTAGCAGACACCTGGGCGCAGCCGATGCACCAGCACACGCCATCAGGATGAAGTGGGCGGCAGCAGAATGAAGACTTGATGGAAACCATATGCACCGACCAGCCATGACCGAGAAGCAGGTCTGACCCTCTGGGGAATTTCATTCTGTGACCTCAATAGCAGAGCGTTCCCTAGTTGATCACTAGTGGGGATGAGTCATGAGTTCACTACGACAACAACAGCACGCCTGATGGCTACCTCGCAGCCAGGGCTCACCAGCTCAACAAAAGCCCAAACTCCGTGGTCAGAGAATATTGCTTTTGATTTGTTAGATTGAGTGGGTCTTCCGCTTTCACAGTTGTTTTGCTATATGCGGACAAGTATTGCGAATGCCATCGTGGAACAGCTCCCGGGGTTGGCCGCAGTAGTGGGAGAGAACCGTCCTAAACGTCCCAAAATCCCCTTTCTCCGAATAGACGCCGACCTCACATTGCAAAGATAACTCGCTACGTTCTGAGGGAAACTGGCTGGACCACGATACCATGTCCATCGTATAGCCCTGGCATCACTCCATCGGGCTATCCCTTCACAGTGCCTTGAGGCAGCAGCGGCGAGAGAAAAAAGTCACTAAATACAACCACTCCAAAAACGACCTTGCTGAATTCTTCAGCTCATAGCTTCACCCATTCTAGGAGGAAAGCATCCAAAGGTTCCCTGGTGAATGGATGCATATCGGTGATTATGATAATGGTTATATTTTTGATCAATTGGTTTTAGAGAAAGATAAAACTCGATGAGAAGAAAGTGTCGAAATCGTCGAAGGTGTCGAAAGAACTATGGGACAACCCAATATTTTCTCGATCGTCCCAATTGCTGAGAAGATGATCGTAAATGCCAGTCTTCCTCTCAAAGATATCTGACGGATCTACGCCAATCATGAGCCAACTTTAGTCCATTGAAAAATATTGAATCCGTATGAATCACTGCGACTGCATAGGTTTCACATCGAGATATGACGCCGTTGCTTTTCGTGAAATGAAGAGGGAATGAGGAGGGAATCCTCATGAAGAAGAGGACATCTGAAGATCTTGATGAAGAGCGAATTACTTCCAAACTCAGCTGATGTGAGAAACTGAAGAGCACTTCGCAGGAAATCACTGGTCATTATAGCAAGATAGCTCCCACAAAGCGGAAGATTGCCAAAACTGGTGCAGACAGCATTGAATGTCAAAACACTGCGTTTGAGGAGGGGATCAATATGTATGGCGTATGCTAGATATGAAAATGCCCTGGGAATCATCGGGACTTAGAAAAAAAAGTTGAAGAAACTGCTCAGGAGAGCTCTAGATGAGCTCAACGCCACCTATCCGTATGTCACGGTCTGAGATCCCGTGAAGGCCTCGCTTGTACCTTACAAGGGAGGTCGTTCAAGGTGTGCCAAGCTTTTTCAAAATGATTTCTTGCATGACATTGGGGCACATATAGGGGACCAAAGAAGCATGTGAATATTCCTAAACGGTGTAGTCCCTGCTCTCCACATTCCTTTCATGACTTTTGCTAACATCTGTGGATTCCGGGCACCATCATATTCTTGCCAAGGGGTGGGACATCGACAGAATGCGCCAAAGTATGGC